CTCATTCATCGCCAACGACTCCGCCGACAGACCGCAACAGTCCGATCCGACCACTTGCGGTGGCGGCTCCGACCAACGACTGATGAGCTGCTCCTTCTGTAGCGCTCTGCGCGTTGCCAGCCGGACCTGCTCCCGCATACATCGGCCCCAGGCGCGCAAGTACTGCGCCAAAGGGGTTGGTAGCAACATGTCAGAAAGCAACCGCGCCAGCGAGAGGCCCCATCATCTCGCGCAGAGCACGGCCAAATTTACAACATGCGCCCCAGTGTATACTTGAGTGCTCCGCGGTGTTGCTTATTAATTGTAACCAGTTCACGTAGTTAACTCTGATAAGATCGGCTGTTAGTAACTGTTGCTAACCAGTTAGGCAATGTAAAGTTAACAGGTTAAGAGCTCCTCAACATTGAATTCTGAAAAGACAAAAACATAATTTTCTGTTTGCGGACTTCGGAAAATCAGCCAAGACTTGCAGGCAACACAGATTTCGGGTCTTGTTTTTTTCAGTGCTGCTAGTGATAGCACCAAGTCTGCCTGATCTGCTTGCGCATGCCCCTGGTCATGAACCCATGGGCCAAACACGCAGCAAGCAACAAAGACGATTCGAACATGCCATGCAGCCATGCAAGCCTTGGAGCATGCGTGAACGTCATGCGCATGAAACATGGCAATTGTTGAGTCACAAATCGATCTGGGTTGCACACGCTCTATGTGTGCTGGATGGCAGCGTACAAACGATATGTCCACACTGTCGCTTGCAACTTCAGGTCCGCGAGAGCGACAAACCGTTAACCCCCAGCAATGCACAATGCGGCCGCCTTCTTTTTCCTTGCAACCTGCTCACATGCTGTGATTTGCTCTTACGCGCACGGAACCTACCGTTCTGTGAAATGTTTGCACCTAATTTCGAACTGGCTTACACGGGCAATCGGCTCTCAGGCAAAACGTTGCCTCACTTCCTGGGCACGCGGTCTCACAGAGGTTGTCCCCACCAGACCCAATACCACACCCTCAGTAGATGAGAAAGAAGACATGAATGGATGTTGAAGTGAGAACCGGATAAACATGCACCTCACATACAGCCGAGCGTCTCCACTCCAAGGACGGTTATCACCTTCCGGCACCAGCGCCACCGTAAGCGCCCCGTGGGGAGCGAGTGCTGAAACAACTAATTGGATGCTACGCGCCATGCGCACAGCGAACTGGACTGACTGCCCCTATCTGTCCTTGACCAATCTTCTGGAGGCATCTTCGCACTCGTGGAGGCTAAACTGGCACAACTCTGAAGCAAAATGCTGCAACGTGCACGCAAGCTGTGAACACGATACAACTCCTCGCCATGCATGGAGCAGCATGCATGTGTGGCATGCCATGGAAGAACATGCTTGCAAAATGCCACCACAAGCGCAGGCACCCGGCACCCACGCTCATGATCCCATGACCAAACATGCGAGAAGCAACAAGTTGCAAGGATTCCAACATGCAATGCAGCCATGCAAGCCTTCGAACATGTATGCAACGCATGCGCGCGCAACACGGCAACTTACGTCTCCCCAGGTTTTTTGTGGACCACACAGAACTGTTGTAGTATGATGTGAAATCAGACAGCTATGACGTCATATGGATCCAGACTACTGTCTCGTGCGCAACGCATACTGTTGAAAGCAATTATCATACCGGGCATGGCATGTATACATATTGCCGCATTCAATATGAAGACTGTTTTCAGCTGTATGCTGTGGGAGCGAAAGAATAGTCTGGATCCAGTATGATGCCATACCTGTGGGACGTCACATCATACTGGATACAAGCAACTGCTTTGCACACAACGCATACTGTTGGAAACAATGTTCACACTGGGCATGGCATGTGTACGCAATACCACATTCAATATGGAAACTGCTTTCAAAAGTATGCGTTTTGCGCAAAACAATGGTCTGGATCCAGTACGCTGTCACACCTGTGAGACTTCACATCATACTGGATACAAATTACTGTTTGCGCACAAGGCATACTGTTGAAAACAGCTTTCATACTGGACATGGTATATATCAATTACCACATTCCGTGCGAACAAGGTTTTCAACAGTATGCCTTGCGAAGTAAACACCGGTGTGGATCCAGTATGAGGGCATACCTGCGGGACTTCACATCACACTGGATACAAAATAGTGTTTGTACGTAACGCATACTGTTCAAGGCAGTTTTCATACCGGACATTGTAAAGATATAGACATTGCCACATTCAGTATGAAACTTGTCTTCAACAGCATGCGTTGCGCGCAAAGCAATAGTCTGGATCCAGTATGATGTCATACCTGTGGGACTTCACATCATACTGGATACAAACCACTGCTTTGTGCGCAAAACATACTGTTGATAACAATTTTCAAACTGGGCGTGGTATGTAATACATATTACCGCATTCAGTATGAACATGGTTTTCAACAGTATGCGTTGCGCGCAAAACAATAGTCAATAGTCTGGATCCAGTATGATGGCATACCTGTGGGAATTCACCTCATATTGCACACAAATTACTTTTTTGTACGCAAGGCATACTGAAGGCAGTTTTCATGCTGGACATGGTATATATACGTATTACCACACTCAATATGAAGACTGTTTTCAACAGTATGTGTTGCGCACAAAGTAACAGTAGTCTGGATCCAGTATCTAAATCCCTGTGGGATTTCACATCATACTTGACAAAAACTACTGTTTTGCACGAGCACGAAAAGCGTACTGTTGACAACAGCTCTCTGGACATGGCATGTGTA